ATAGAAATCTAGGACCTTTAGGTTTGAAATAGTGTTGTATGAGTACTTGGAAAAGGTAAAAATGTAGAAAAATGATACTGAGCTCCTCAAAATACCTGTGTTCAAGTACTAAAAGGGCTTTCCCAGAGAAATGTCTTTCAAATCCCATAGGACCAGGAGAAATGGTTTGATACCACCTTGTCCAATCTCCTCATTTTAACATGTTCCATCCTTAGAAGACAAGGCCAGCAGCTAAAAAATAATAGGTGCTTTAATTTTTATTAGCTCAATATAATGAGCTGATACTTGACAACTAGATACTTAAGAAGTAGAACATAGAGTTTGTGTATAGCAAGTTTTCTGTGGAAGTATGGAGAATCTGCCTAGCTACTTGTCAGGCAAGCGGGGTTCCCAACTTTCTTCTAGTTCTCTTAATTACACACTACATTGCACTCTCAAGTGTTGTGCTTTATTGGATGTTACCGACTAAAACTACCAGTGATAATTTACAAATTTAAGTTGTTCCTTCCTATTAGAACATATAAAGGCCTTTTGATTCAAACACTAAGCAAAACCTAGACTTTATGTAGATCTGTCATTTAAAGGTTCATAGTTTTAAAAGTCTTGCTTTTATTATTTAAACCCTTGGATTCTATAAATTTTAACTCTGTGTCACTATAAATAAGTAGTAGTTTATAGACATACAGTGAGTAGAGATAATATAAGTAGTTGATTTTAACAAGTTTCCATTAATCCTTTTAATTGTGAGTCAATACAAAACAGCAGAGGAATTTTTCAGGATAACTTATTTTGAAACATGATTCTAATGTCAGAGAATCTTGATCTCCCAGTTCGTCTCAGATGCAAGCCACCAATTGTGTACACATCTTTCTAGGCTTTGTCTAATCTAAACCAGTCCTTAGCTTTTCTCCTTTACTAATTCATTGAAAAACTGTGTCTGGCATTGAGTGTACCAAGGTGAAGCGAACATGGTCCTGGGGATCCAGAATGTGGTATGGTAATTTGTATTAGTGGTTCTGGAAAAACACTGGGAACTAGATTCCAGACCAAATACCCATGGAAAGCAATTAGCAATAAAATGAGGTGTTATAAAGCTGTTTCCATGAACCTTCAGCTACCAGCATTTGGAGAAAAATTACCAACCTACCTGATACTGGTTTTTATGAAGGTAGAGGGACGAATTTGGGGCAGTGTCTGACAGACTTGAGAACAGGAGAATGTTAAATTAGCCAGTGGCTATTCATTGGGAAGTAGCTGAAACTTTAGGGTTTTATCCTTTCTGTAGAGGGTGCTTATAGGAGACAACTCCAATGAGTTCTCAAACCTGATTTGCGAATAAGTCTCCCACCTAGGGACAGCCCCAACCCTGAGGAGAAAGTGGAGTCAAACTGAGTAAGATAAAGAACAAAGGGAAAGGGCTTGGATGAAACTGGAGGAGGGAAATACAGGAAAAGCTCAGAAAGCAAGCCACTGTATTTCTGAGCATTTAAACATTAGAAAAGGTAGCTCTGCCAAGTCAGAAGAGCTCAGCGTTATTCCAAGGAAAATCTAAATTTATGTGAAATGAGTAGTAACAAATTAGTGTCAAATTTCACCAAAGGTTATTGTCAAACGTAATATGAATGCTTTAGTAAGCATGAAATGGAGGAAGGATCTCTGAAGAATTAATTTAGGGGAAAGTTGTCAGCAAAGCCTTCAGGATGTAGCATTTGACTTGGGCTCGCCTTGCTACCTAAATCAAAGTTGGAAAGTTGAGCTATGTTAATGCATCCGGAGGAGTAGTTGTCTCCCTTCTCCTCAGGGATATTTTTATTCTGGCCCTCTGAATTACATGTTTGATAAGAGACTGGAAAGAGGAGAGAGTATAAAGTTACGATTTATTCCCTTATGAGGGTAAAAGGTAAGAACAAGGAACTTGAGAAAATTAATTAAAATTCCATGTGGGGTTTCTGATCCATTTTCTTTTCTTTTTTTTTTTTTTTTTGAGATAGAGCCTCAAGCTGTCCTCCTGGGTAGCGTGCTCTGGCATCACAGCTCACAGCAACCTCCAACTCCTGGGCTAAAGCGAGTCTCTTGCCTCAGCCTCCCAAGTAGCTGGGACCACAGGCGCCCGCCACAACGCCTGGGGATTTTTTGGTTGCAGCCGTCATTGTTTGGCGGGCCGAGGCTGGATTCAAACCCGCCACCTTAGGTGTAGGTAGCTGGCGCCTTAGCCGCTTGAGCCACAGGCGCCAAGCCCTGATCCATTTTCCATCTACTATTACATTGTGTATCATCACCCTGCTGATCCTATGTTCATGCTTATCCTGCTCAACTACTGGGGATATCACTATTACCTCTATTGTTTTGCCAGTTGTGTAGTCCCAAATCATCCCTGATTATCTGTTTTCTCTCACTCCATGTCCAATTACTTTATCCATCAAATAGAACCAATGTTTATAAATACCAGACACTTCTAAAGCACCGGGGAATACAGTGTGGATCAAAACAAAGTTGTTCTCATGGAGTTTACAATTAGTTTAGTAGGAGGAACATTAGATACACAGAGGGTGCCCCCCAAATGTCCCCCCATATGTAATACAAGGAAACATTGTATTAAAATTGTAATGCTGGGCAGAGCATGGTGGCTCACACCTGTAATCCTAGCACTCTGGGAGGCCCAGGTTAGAGGATCACTTGAGCTCAGGAGTTTGAGCAAAGCCAGATCTTGTCTCAACTGAAAATGGAAAAATTTGTCCGGAGAAGTGGCCCACAGCTGTAATCCCAGCTACGCAGAAAGGGAAGGCTGAGGAAGGAGGAGCGCTTGAACTCAGGAGTTTAAGGTTGCTGTGAGCTAGACTGATGCCACAGCACCATAGCCTAGGGAACAGGGTGAAACTGTCTCAAAAAAAAAAAAAAAAAAAAAACACCAGGTAATACCTAGTTATGGTTGACTTATGCTATTACAAGAGATGCAAGATAACAATATACAAGACAATTTATTATAATTTTAATAGTTTTTTCCCCTTAAAATGTGTATACATTTTTTTGGCACGCTCTTTATGTGGCAGGGTTATAAAAAAATAAATTAGGTTAAGAATGGAGAGATGCTATTTATGTATAGAGAGAAAGCTCTCAAAGTCCTGGGGGCTCAAGCCATCCTCTTGCCTCAGTCTCTGGTGTAGCAAGGACTACAGCCACCCCTACGCTGATCTCCAACTCCTGAGCTCAAGCAGTCTGCCCGCCTTGGCCTCCCAGAGTGCTAGTAGTCAGGCGTGAGCCACCACGCCGGCCTGCACACTTTTTTGTAGGTAGGTTTGCAGCAGGCACAGTTATCTTAAATTGTCATGTCACTCCAAAGCACCCTTTGCTGAAATCCTAAAAGAGGAAGCTATTTCATATAGTAACCTCAAATGTGCATTAAAATTTTATTCATCACGTCTTGACTTAGTTCTATCACTTTGCATTCCGTGGGTATGCCAGGGGAGTTGTCTGGCTCCTACTTGGTAGCCCGAATAAGTCAGAGCGTTTCGTGAAAGAAAAATCTTCGAGTACTGCAAAGCTGCAACCCCCTCGAGGGTAGCTTCTGTTGGTCCCACAGACATTTAATAAATAATCCGCTGAGTGAACAAACGGATGAAGAAAAATTTAAGTCGTTACGCTGCGTCAGGTGAACTTGGGAGGGCGGGTCCGCTTCGGGTGCAGCTGTAGTGGGCGAGGCAACACAATCCTTGTGAAGAGCTACATGGATTAGCAATTCCCGGTCGCGAGCCCAGCCGCCAGGCCTGTCACAACTCTTTGACACTGTGGTTAAATAAAATCAGTACTTGGCGTCCATGAAACCTAAAACCATGTACCGCGCATGCACCGTCTTCCCAGCGTGATCTGCCCCGCCCGCCAGCTGTCTATTGGCCTTTATTGGCTGCCTCGCGGAAGTCCCGCCCCCTGGAAGAGAAACTCGGTAGAAGGTCTGACTGTATTGCCTCCACTTTCCTGGTTGGAACGACCAATCAGAAGCCCTGACCTTCAGCCTTGTCCAATGAGGCCAGGTATGGGTGTTGGCCCGCGGAGTTTGATTTTCGTCCAGAGACACGGAAGTAGGGCCTGAACGGGGACGAGCGGTAGGTTGGTGGAACGGGAGAGGAGGCGGCTGCACCCCCCGCAGAATTACCCTGTCTGGGCGACCGGCTGGGCGGCGAGCCCGGAGGCGGCCTCATACCCCTTGGTGGGGGCGTGGTTGCCGCCTGTGGCCTGCAAGCCGGGGCGCGCGGGCTGACAGGGGACGATGTCTGAGCGCTCCTTTGCCAGGACCAGCGCGCTCGGTAATTCTTCGACTGGGGATTCGGAGACCGGGATTCATAACGCCCTCCCCTTCATGTTGTGGTTGCCGGACGCTCGGCTTCGGAGGAAAGTGAGCAAGGCCACCATAATAGTTTTGGAGAGCCCGGGCGGAAACCTGTGGCCAAAGCAAGCGACACGACCCGGCTGTGGCCGCAGCCTCTTACCAGTGCGGTGACTCTGCCCGGTTACCAATTTGGGATTCATGCCCCTTTAAACTGAGCTAGAAGGATTGAGTGGTACCCTGATAAGATTGTGAGAGAAGATACTGTTCATTTTATTAAAACTTGGAGTGGGGCTTCTGCCTGCTTTCAACAGTCGGCTGAACTCACCCCTCTGTTTTAGTCTCAGCCTAAAGCTTTCAGGAAAGACCAAGCTTTGCGATCAAAAGCAACTTTCTTGCCAAGTGTCCGCTCTATCTGTTGTTGATTAATATCTAAATTGAAATTTCTTTTACACCACTCTGCCTCTCCCCCAGCCTCATACTTCCTTTCTTTCTCCTACTTCTTTCAAAATAATGGCTGGCAGAAAGTTGTTGAAAGGTGTACTGTCCGTGAAAGAAGAATTTATTGAACAATTTATTGGCAATTGCTTGTCAAGGATAATATTTTTTAAAATTTTCCCCAAAGGTACCAAGAGACTGATTATGTTTCCTTGAATTTGCTTCTGTATTTGCATCATCAATGTCTCTGATATTGAATATCTTAAGAAAGATGCTGGAATATTTTGGTGTCCCTATAGACCAGGTAAATGTCTTTTAATGGGTTTAAATGAATCTGTTGTACTTGTTCTTGGGTCCCATTTTGAAAATGATTTATATGTAAATAATTAATGTAAGGTGAAATTATTGCTTCGCTTTAGGTGGAACAAAGGTGGATTCATGATAGCATAACTTTGATACATAGTTTAAATCTAGAAAGGAATAAGATTATTGAGAGCCTATTTACCTGATAGATCAAATGCCAACAGAAGGTACAAAGGAAGCAGAATGTACATGTGACCTTCACAGAATCTCATTGATTGCTTAGATAAATAAAACTGCTCTATTTAAGGTATTTGATATTTATTTGATATTTATTTATTTGATATTTATTTATTTAAGGTTTGATATTTATTTATTTATTTATTTTTTGAGACAGAGTCTCACTATGTCATCCTCGGTAAAGTGCAGTAGCGTCACAACTCACAGCAACCTCCAACTCTTTGGCTTATATGATTCTCTTGTCTCAGCCTCCCAAGTAGCTGAGACTACAGGCACCCACCACAGCATGTGGCTATTTTTTTAATTGTAGTTGTCATTGTTGTTTAGCAGGCTGGGGTTGGGTTCGAACTTGCCAGCCCCAGTGTATGTGTGCTGGTGTTGTAACCACCTAGCTACAGGCACTGAGCCAAGTTTGATATTTAATGCTCACCAAAATCCAGAATAAACCTGGAGGACAGAGGATGACTTAGACCTAAGAATTATGAGTAAATCTAATTTTGCTACTTGTTCAACATCTACATCTAAGACAATATCCTTGGTTCTGTCAGTGATACAGAGAAGCAATACATGGTTCTTATATTCATTTTTTTTTTTTTTTTTTTTTTGAGACAGAGCCTCAAGCTGTCCCCCTGGGTAGAGTGCCATGGCATTACAGCTCACAGCAACCTCCAACTCCTGGGCTCAAGCGAGTCTCCTGCCTCCGCCTCCCAAGTAGCTGGGACCACAGGCGCCCGCCACAACGCCCGGCTATTTTTTGGTTGCAGCCATCATTGTTGTTTTGGCGGGTCTGGGCTGGGGATTTGAACCCGCCACCTTAGGTGTACGTGGCTGGCGCCTTAGCCGGTTGAGCTATAGGCGCCGAGCCGGTTCTTATATTCATAATGCTTAAAATATTATATGAGGAATAAATAAGCATAAAGAAAGATAAACTATAATGTAAGATTGATTATAAGAAAGACATAAAAATAGTATGTGGACTTATAAAATGGTCACATCATCTCTATTTGGTGGGGTGAATTAAAAGAGTAGTCAAGGATAATTCTGATTTTAAATAAAAGTAAGTTGAAGCATAATGGTCCCATTATTATAAACAGGTAACTCAGTATGAGAAACTAGAGTTTCTAGGGGATGAAGTAGGTACATGTAAATAGAAATAGAAATATCATGCAAACAATTGGATTTATGGTTTTAGAATATAGAAAGAAAAAGAATCAGATTTGGAAGTTATCAGGAGTATTTTGATGTTTTTTTTTTTTTTTTTTTGAGACAGAGTCTCCCTGTTGTCCTGGTGTTGAGTGCTATGGCATCATGATAACTCAGAGCAACCTCAAGGTCTTGGGCTCAAGTGGTCCTCTTGCTTCAGCCGCTAGAGTGGTAGGGACTACAGGTGGCCAGCTGATTTTTCTGTTTTTATTAGAGATGTGGTCTCGTTCTTGCTCAGGTTGGTCTTGAGCTCCTGAGTTCAAGTAATCCCCTTCAGCCTCCCAGAGTGGTAGGATTACTGGTGTGAGCCACCACTCCCCATCATTGTTTTGAAATTTGAAGTCGTGGACTTTGATGACATAATGGAAGATGTCATTGAAGCATATATGCATTTTTTTTTTTTTTGTCTCTCTCTGAATTGAGTGGCATGGTCATAGCTCACAGGAACTGTCACAGCTCATAGCAAGTTCACATTCTTGGGCTTGAGCAATAACCTTGCTTCAGCCTCATGAGTAGCTTACCTTTAATTTTCCCCAGTATTTTTTTTTTGAGACAGAGCCTCAAGCTGTCACCCTGGGTAGAGTGCCGTGGCATCACAGCTCACAGCAACCTCCAACTCTTGGGCTTAAGCAGTTCTCTTGCCTCAGCCTCCCAGGTAGCTGGGACTACAGGTGCCTGCCACAACTCCTGGCTATTTTTTGGTTGTAGTTGTTGTCATTGTTGTTTGGTGGGCCCTGGGTTGGATTCAAACCTGCCAACTCTGTTGTATGTGGCTGGTGCCTTAGCCGCTTGAGGTACAGGCACAGAGCCACCTATCCTTTTTTTTTAAAGACAAATATTAGGGCAGTGCCTGTGGCTCAGTGAATAGGGCACCAGCCTCATATACCGAGGGTGGTGGGTTGAAACCCAGCCCCAGCCAAACTGCAAGAAAAATAGCCAGGCATTGTGGCAGGTGCCTGTGGTCCCAGCTACTTGGGAGGCTGAGGCAAGAGAATCGCTGAGGGTGATAAAAGTGAAACTCTGTCTCTACTGAAAAAAAAAAAAAGATAAATATTAATAAAGTTTAATTCTTTGAAGAAGATAATTTAAGAATACACCATTCTACATTTTCTTTTTAAAAATAAATATTATGTCTTTTACATTTCCTTTTTCCATAGATAATAAACATGCTTAATTAGAGTACATTTAAAATAATGCATTATGTTTAAATAGGTTTTTCAGATTGGGGAAAATAAAGACTATGGATCAACTCGGAGTATCATTCGTATTATTGGGAAAATGCTTCCATTAGAACCTTGTCGAAGACCTACATTTGAGGTAAGACAGACAGCATGCATTGTGCAAGCAGTGTGTATAAATTAATCCTAGGTACTCCTATTGGTATAGGATAGAACAACAAAGGAAGAAATGTTTCCTGCCAGTCAAAACCTTTAGTTTACTTCTGGAAACAAGTCATTTCAGATTTGTTTTTGTGGCGTTTGTTTATTTAAGTGCAATCTCACATCACTTAATGATGGGGATAGGTTGTAAGACCCGCATTATTAGGTGACTTTGCCTTCTGTGAACATTATAGAGCATACACACCTTGGCTGTATGGTTTGGCCTATTGTTCCTAGGCTGCAAGTTTGTGCAGCATGTTACTGGATTCAATACTGAGGCAGTTATAACACATTACTAAGGATTTGTGTGTCTAAACATAGAAAAGGTACAGGAAAAATATAGTATAAAAGATAAAAACTGGTGTACCTGTATAGGGTACTTGCTGTATAAATGAGTCTTGCAGGACTGGACATTGCACTGGGTGCGTGAGTTTCATGAATGCACAGTGACCTGCTAGGCCTGCACAGGGTCAGGAATGTCACTACCACTATCCTCCACATCTTTTCCCACTGGAAGGTCTGCAGGGGCAATAACACACAGGGTGTTGTCATCTGCTATGATAACAGTGCCTGCTGAAGGACTGCCTGAGGCTCTTTTACAGTTAACTTTTTTGTTTAATAAGTAGGAGTAGCCTCTAAAATAATAATAACAATAACAAGTATAGTAAATGCCAGCAACTTTTCATGTACATTGCGATGTGTACGTGCCTATGTGCCAGGTTATGGGATCCGTTGTTGCACTGCACCTATATGGTGCGTGACTATGAATTACATTCACATATGGGCAGATGCGAGCAACACCACAGGAGCTTCTTTTCTTTCCTTTTTTCTTTTATGATAGATAAGATTAGCGGGGGTGGGAGGGGGCAGCAATATTGCTGCATGCTTACCTTTAATTTTCCCCAGTATTTTTTCTTGCTAACAGGTGCATGATTTGCTGTTGAGTATCCTTTTTCTTTTCTCTATTTTAGATTAACTTATTTAATGCTGGGGGGAGGGGCATTTGTCTTCCCCTGACTTCCTGCAGAACTGACTTCTTCTTTTTCTTTTACTTTAGTTCACCCCACTCTTGACATCTGTGGACTCTGATGATTATGGACCTGTGGTTCCATCATTTGCTGATGTTTTGTGTGTAGCAAATGATAAAGAATCCAGTTATCTCAGATTTCGGTAATTTTACATGCTTATCTTGGGAAGTAAAGTGTAGGCTATAACCTGGATTCTTACATGTGTTGAAGTTTATTTGAAGTTTATACTAATGGAGCTTTTTTTTTTTTTTTTGCGCTTTATCTCTTTGTCCTACTAATGTCTTCCTAATAAGGATAGTTTGTTGTTTCCCAATTTTTAACCAGTTTTTCTTAATGAACATTTAAACCTTACATCAGTCCTAGGAGGGAATGATTATTGAAGTAATATCAGATTCATTATGTTCATTCTGTTTTCTATACTAGATAGTATATTTATTATATTTTATATATTTAGCCAAAATGTATATAGTGCTTACCGTGTACCAAGCTAGATATATTTCAAAATTTGGATGTGTTACTTTTAGGGAGCACTAACTTACGTGTTAGTATATTTGGATGTAAGCTATAAGCACAATTATTGTCAGTTATTAAAATATTCTGGCTAAACTTACTGTCTGACTGATTTATCAATTTTTAAAAAGTTAGAAGGCCATAAACTTACCTCTGACATAATCTTGAATGTATAAGGCACCCTTTGGTGCCTTACATAGAATTTCTAAATAAATTAACTAATCTGTGTTTGAAGTTAACAGGTAGAACAACTACAGGATAATTATTTTTGTCTTATACCTAAAAGCAAAGTTTGTTCTTTCATTCCCCGGCCACTTATTGGTCATCTGTTAGAGGCTACCGTCTGTTCTTTATATTAAGAATGCAAAGCTAAGACGTTATGCTTGTCCTCAGTGAGTCTACAGTCACAGAGGAGAGAGTTGCTCTGCTTTTATTTTGTTGTCTTTTGCTTTTGCTGAAAGTGTGTTCCTCTTTTGATTGATGACACACCTCCCTGTGTTTCTTCCTTCCTTTCACCCACAGAAATAATAGGTGGGAAAATGAGGAAGAGGAGAAAGCTGAAGATTTCCATCCTGTGCACCTAGTGTGGGATCCATTGTCATCTGCTCTAAGACATAACAAACCACCGAAAAATGATCAGCCTGTAAATGAAGCTGCAATTAAAAAAATAGCTGCTCTTGAAGATGAGCTAGCTTTTCTTCGCTCTCAGATTGCTGTACTTGTGGAAATGCAGGAACTGAAAACCAGTACAAATGCTGGTAGGCAACATGCTGGGTTTTTGTTTGCATTAGATGGTACTCATGATGTAGCCTGTTGTTGTATACATACAGCATGTTACCGTACTGAATATAGCACATATATAACAAATAGTAACATCTAGTATTTAAGTGAGTACTATTCTAAATAGTACCTGAACAACATTAAATGGATCATAAAGAGATATTTGGTATATTAAATTAATATATCTGATGCTATTCAGAATAAATCAGGACACATTTTTGTACTGAAGGGGACAGCTTTGGTTAAAGAAGAGCTAGCTATATTACTGAAGATTGTGTTTTTGTATTAAAAAGTGTTTTGTCTTTTAAGTAAGCTTTTCCTGCTCTTCAGAAAAGTACTAGAGGTTAAACAGGAAGAATTCATTGGTTTGACATAGAAATATAGGCCCTTGGCATCGTGGCTTATGCCAGTAATCCTGACACTTTGGGAGGCTGAGGTGGGAGGATCACTTGAGGCCAGAAGTTCAAGACCAGCCTGAGCAAGAGTGAGATCCCATTTCTACAAAAAATAAAAAGATTAGCTAGGCATGGTGGCACGTAACTGTAGTCCCAGCTACTTGAGAGGCTGAGGCAGGAGGATTGCTTGAAGCCTGCATTTTAGGGTTGCATTGAGTTCTGATGACACCATTGCATTCTAGCCCAGGAGACAGAGGAAGACCCTGTCTCAAAAAAAAAAAAACAAAAAGAAAGAAGAGTATAAGTTTGAGGCCTCATCTCATATATTTATAGTTTATAGTTTTTAGTTATTGTGCTACACATCTACCAAGTTGAATAATGTTTTCCAGATGATCCTTCTCTAAATTTTTAGGGATGTAACTTGCTTTTTTTTTCTTTTTGCAGTTTTTGGCTGGGGCTGGGTTTGAACCCGCCACCTCTAGTATATGGGGCCAGCACCCTAGTCCTTGAGCCACAGGCGCTGTCCGGAGATGTAACTTGCTTTAAACACACATGTGTATGTGTGATTGTAGGTCTATAAAATTTAAAGCAACATAAGTACTGAGTGCTTTTCACAATGGATTTGGTTGTAAGGGCACTGCGTAAATTTGATTGTGAAGACAAATTATAAAATGTAAATATTTATATACACAAATGCATATATTTACATATATAATATTTATGCAACGTGTTTTTATAAAAGCATATAAATAAATATGTACTAATTTATATTTATACATAACAAAATGGTATATAAACACTTTAAAAAAATCATGTTTATCTATAGTCCATATGAGCAAATGTATTATGAAAAGATTACTTATTATCTATTTTAGGCTCTTGCCTAAAAAATAATATGCTTTTTTATACAATGTCATTATAAAGTAGATGCATCAGTTTGAGTGTTTCTAATTAGAACTTGTTGATCTTTTTCTTGTTTTGAGACAAGACTCTCACTCACTTGCCCTGGGTAGACTGCTGTGGCGTTACAGCTCACAGCAACCTCAAACTTTTAGGCTCAAGCGATCCTCTTGCCTCAGCTTCCCCAGTAGCTGGGACTACAGGCACCTGTCTGTGGTACCCGGCTCGTTTTTTTTGTATTTTTAGTAGAAACGAGGTCTCACTCTTGCTAAGACTGGTCTGGAACTCCTGAGCTTAAGCAATCCACCTGCCTCGGCCTCCCAGAGTGCTAGGATTACAGTCATGAGCCACTGGGCCTGGCTATGTTTTGTTTTTCTTAATGGAGGATGAAGTTCAGATTATATGTGAATTATTGAAAAACACTTTTTATTTTCTCTTTAAAATGTGTTCTTCTTCCTCCCTGCTTTTGGGCCCACACTGAAAATTCCTAATTGGATTAAAAATGAATTTGCAGTTTGGCTTGACTCTTACAGACATAACTGAATAGATGGGATTGGTTCTTCTTCCTGGCTCCCATATCACTATTTTAATAGCATTACAGAAATGCCCCTGTTTTGGTTCTAATTAGTGTCTTATTGCAACTTGAGAATTTTGCATGACGTTTGTTTTTAGGCTCCTTAGACTTAAATGACGGGCCCATAAGCTTGCGACAAATGCCACCATCGAAGGCTGCTCAGCTGTCTGAGGAACCCGACGAGTTTCCAAGTCTGGGCCCTCCTTTCCCTCCGCCTCCGCCTCCGCCTCCGCCTCCGCTTCCTCCCCAGCGTTCACCGCTCCAGCCTCCGCGTTTTCCTGCGACACAACCCAAGTCTAATAAGATTTGTGACTCAGATAACTTAGCGACTGAAACGAACAGACAGCAGCCAGGTGCTAGTAACACCAACAGCAGTCATTCAGAAGGCCAGAGAAACAAAAATGTTCCCAACATGTTGGATGTTCTGAAGGATCTGAATAAGGTTCAGCTTCGTGCTGTTGAACGGTATGTTGTAATTTGAGAAATGAACTAAGATTTTATCAATGATATTTTTAGAAAAATTATATTTATGACAGTTAACATATATAAATCTTTTTTCTTCAGCCCAGAGTACCCTTCCTAGGGTAATCACTCTCAGTTTTTTTTTAACTTTTTTTTTTTTTTTTTTTTTTTTGGCAACAAGAGGCTCCCTTTGTCACTCTTGGTAGAGTGCTGTGGCCTCATCACAACGCCTGGCTAATTTTTAGAGATGGGTCTGGCTGTTGCTCAGGCTGATCTCTGAATTCCTGAGCTCAGCAATGCACCTGCCTTGGCCTCCCACCTGCCTTGACTGTATCTTCTGGTGTCTTGTCTCCGACTTTTGAATCTTACCTTTGCTATTTATTGATATTTTAATCATATTTACTTCCCATTGAAGATCAGAAACAAATTCTAGTAGATATTCTGTCCAATACATACATAACACTTCTTTAGGTTCATTTTTACTATTTCTCTGAAGAATGTCATTGATATTTTGATGGGAATTGCATTAAATCTGTAGATTGTACTAGGTAATGTGGACATTTTAAACAATATTGATTCTTCCAGTCCATAGGCATGGAATATCTTTCCATTTTTTTTGAGTCCTCTTCAATTTCTTTCATCAATGTTTTATTGTTTTCTTGTGGAGAGCTTTCATTTCTTTGGTTAAGTTTATTTCTAGGTTTTTTTTTTTGTTTTTAATTTGTAGCTATTATAAAGGGAATTAATTTCTTGGTTTCTTTTGCAGATTGTTTACTGTTGACATATAGAAATACTACTGACGTTTGTGTATTGATTTTTGTATCCTGCAACTTTACTGAATTTATTTATCAAGTCTAATAGTTTTTCTGTGGGGTCTTTAGGTTTCTCTAGATAAAAGATCTTACGTTCTACAAACAAGGACAATCTGAATGCCCTGTATTTCTTTCTCTTGACTGGCTGCTCTAGCTAGAACTCTCAGTACTATGCTGAGTAACATCGGTGAGAGTGGGCACCCTTGCCTTGTTATCCTCATCTTAGAGGAAGGGCATTCAGGTTTTCCTCATTCAGTGTGGTACTAGCTATGGGTCTGTCATGTATGGCTTTTGTCATGTTGAGGTAAGTTTCTTCTATACCCAGTGTTTTAAAAGTTTTTAATTATGAAGTGTTGTTGAATTTTATCAAATGCTTTTTCAGCATCAGTTGAAATGCTAAAAAGTCATGTGGTTTTTGTCCTTCATTCTGTTGCTATGATGTATTACATTGATTAATTTGCATATATTGAACCATCCTGGCATCCCTGCAATGAATCTCACTTGATCCATGATTCATAATCATTTTAATGTGTTGTTGAATTCAGTTTGCCAGCATTTTGTTGAGGAATTTTTTTTTTTTTTTTTTTCAGTTTTTGGCCAGGGCTGAGTTTGAACCCGCCACCTCCGGCATATGGGGCTGGCGTCCTACTCCTCTGAGCCACAGGTGCTGCCCCAGGAATTTTGTATCTTTGTTCATCAGAGATATTGGCCTATACTTTTCTTTTTTTGCTGTGTCTTTGTCTGCTTTTGGTATCAGGGTGATACAGGCCTCATGGAATGAATTTGAGAATATTGCCTCCTACTTGATTTTTGGAATAGTTTAAGTAGGAGTGGTATTAGTTCTTCTTTGAGTGCTTAGTAGAACTCAGCACTGAAGCCATCAAGCCTTGCCCTTTCATTTGAGACTTTTTTTTTTTTTTTTTTAGAAAGGGTTTCACAGTGTCACCCCTGGGTAGAGTGCCGTGGCATTACAGCTCACAGCAACCTCCAACTCCCGGGCTCAAGCGAGTCTCCTGCCTCCGCCTCCCAAGTAGCTGGGACCACAGGCGTCCGCCACAACACCTGGCTATTTTTTGGTTGCAGCCGTCATTGTTGTTTGGCGGGTCCGGGCTGGGGATTCGAACCCGCCACCTTAGGTGTACGTGGCTGGCGCCTTAGCCGGTTGAGCTATAGGCGCCGAGCCTCATTTGAGACTTTTTATTGCTGCTTCTTTCTTATTACTTATTATTGGTTTATTCAGGTTTTGGATTTCTTCCTGGTTTAATCTTGGTAGGTTGTATGTGCCTTGGAATTTATTCTTTTCTTCTAGGTTTTCCAATTTATTGATTGGCATATAGTTGCTCATGGTAGTCTCTAAAGGTCCTTTGGATTTCTGCAGTGTCAGTTGTAATGTTTCCTTTTTTATCTCTGATTTCTTTTTATTTGCATATTCTCTCTTTTTCTTAGTCTAGCTATATGGGTGTGTTGCTTTTGTTTATCTCTTGGAAAAGTCAACTTTTTGTATTGTTGATCTTTTGTATGTTTTTGTTTGTTTTTTGGTTTCATTTTCATTTATTTCTGTTCTGATCTTTACTGTTTCCTTTGTTCTTTTAATTTTGGGTTTTCTTAGCATTCTGGGTGGCCCAAGGTGGGTGGATTGCCTGAGTTTACAGGTTTAAGACCTGCCTGAGCAAGAGTGAGACCCTGGGCATTGTGGCAGTTGCCTGTAGTCCCAGCTACTGGAGAGTCTGAGACAAGAGAATTGCTTGAGCCCAAGAGTTTGAGGTTTCTGTGAGCTGTGATACCTTAGTACTCTACTGAGGGTGACAAGTGAGACTCTGTCTCAAAAAAAAATTGGGGGTTTAGTTTGTTCGTTTTTCTAGCTCTTTGAGATGCATCATGAGGTTTATTTGAAGCTTTTCTACTTTTGTGAGGTGGGCATTTATTGCTATAAGCTGTCTCATGTTTTTTATGTCTCAGTAAATGGCAATACTCTTACCCAGTTGCTCAGTCCCAGAGTCTAATCCTTTTTTTTTTTTTTTTTTTTTTTTAGCGGTTTTTGGCTGGGGCTGGGTTTGAACCTGCCATCTCTGGTATATGGGGCCGGCGCCCTACTCCTTTGAGCCACAGGCGTCGCCCCATCCTTTTTTCTTCTTTTCCTTTCTATCTTGCATCCTTTCCAGCAGCGTATGGCTCAGCTCTGTGTTCCCTCCTGACCTGCGCTGCTTCCTCCCCAGGCTAAGCCACCATCTTCTAGTCTGGTCTTCGCCAGCCTCCTAACTGGGCTCTGTGTTTCATTCTTGCCTCCTCACTTATTCTGCATATAGTGTCCAAAGTGAACCTTTAAAAATCATAGTCACATCTTACCATTTCCTTGTTTTGAACTCTTCTCTTGGTTTCCATGGTGCTTAGCGTTAATTCCAGAGCCCTTGCTGAGGCTGCAAGGCCCCCACAATCTGGCCCTTGCTTCTCTAGTGGACCCCATCTCTTGCCTCCCGTATTGCCCACTGCACTCCAATACCTGGTTTTCTTTTTTTTTTTTTTTTGAGACAGAGCCTCAAGCTGTCCCCCTGGGTAGAGTGCCGTGGCATTACAGCTCACAGCAACCTCCAATTCCTGGGC